ACACACACACGGTCACACTCACACACACACACGCACACACACACGCGCACACACACGCGCGCGCACACACACGCACACACATGCACACACACGCACACACACGCGCGCACACACGCACGCACGCACACACACACGCGCGCGCACACACACACGCTTAGAAAACAGTCACACTCTCCCTCTGTTCTCTGTTTTGGCTGGATGGCTNTGGGGGGAGTGGGATTGTAGGCCGGTCCACAGGCCCCGGGGTGCCCTGAGTCGAGGTAAGCAAATGGCACATCTCAGTGTGGAGCCGAGCCAACCGCAATGGCTGGCCTGGCTTCACTAAGCTGTCTATCTCCACCCCCACCTGAGAAAATGGAGGCAGCTCTGCTGTGGGTGCCTAGCCTGGTGTGGTAGGTGGGAGCTAGGTGGGCGGGGAGCAGTCGGGCTTCGTCCCGCAAGTGGGGCTGGGCTGGGGGTGACTCACAGAGCTCGCAGCGTTGGGCCGGTCCGGCACGCCTCACTCCATTTCTGCGCCAGTTCCGCTGGCTTTCCTGGCCTTTGTTGACTGGGCCGCTCATCCGTTCCCACAGCAGGGCTTGGGTGCTCTCAGGAGTCCTCCTCTGTGTCGGCCCCAAAACCTCGAACCTGCTCCCGCTTGTTTGTCAATGCAGGATCGTTGTTGAAAGAATTATTCGCCTTTTGTTGCTCTTGGAAATGCAATTAATACTCTGGTATCACAGCGCACAGCTCTCAGGATCGCGCTGTCTCCTGGCGCGGCCGCTCCAGACCCGTCACCATCTTGAGAATCCCCAACTTATTCTCTATCTCACAAATTTTTTGATTTCTGTTGTAGCAGTTATCATTACCCCAAATTATCTTGGCTTGTTACTTATTCTGTTAATTGTCTGTTTTCGGAGAGGTCAGGGACCTCATCTGCCTTGATCTCCACTTACCAACAGTGCCTGGACAGCGTTGGCAACATAGTAGGTGACCAATAAAACTCTCCAGAGTGAATGAACAAATGAACAAATGAATAAACTAAACACCTTTTGATCAGTTTGATGAAGACACTGCTGACTTTTCCTCCTCCTGTCTGAAGCCTCCCCCAGCTCATCTACACCTGGAACTTGGCCCACCCTGAGCCCCATCACTCCAAACTCGTAATGGCCTCAGACTCAGATCAGCTGCCTCAGCCTTGGGGAAATCTTACTTCCTAGTTAAGGAGAAAAAAATTTTTTTGTTCTTCCTTGGCCCTAAAACAAATGTGTTGTTTGTTTCACTGAGGTTGCCCATCTCCCTCAAGCACTCTCATAAGCGTCGTGGGCATCGATTCCCAAGCCAGCAACTCAGGTGTGTAAAATAACTTGATTCTTTTGTAACTAAAGATAGCGTCTCTCCAGAGCCCTCATTCTGCCTAATGGCAGAAAACAACAGACTCAGTTCCAGGTGAGTGGCTTCAATTCAGGATGGTAGATTTTCTTCTAGACCATTAAGGATTTTCTTCCTCCCCTTAGGTTGGCTGTGTGTTGTGGGTTCACATGGGGTCGGATGCAGTCCTTGGCTGTCGGCTCCCTGTTATCATGCCCCCCCGCATGACTTGGTCCTCTGTGGGACCCCGGGTGCACAACCTCCCTGCATAGGGGGGAGTGAGAACCCAAACAGTCTCTCCTGGGTCTCTCTGCTCTGAAGCCTCCTCACATCTCCTGTCCATCTGTCCTTACCCTGGCAACGTGGGTCCCATGTGCAGTACCAGCTTCCAGATGCCCAGGTAGGAAGCAAACCCAAGTACTCCCTGCTTTCAGACCCCACATTTATCTGGGTCGTGTATCATTTTCTTTCTTTCTTTTCTTTCTCTCTCCCCCCCCCCCACTTTCTTTCTTTCTTTTTTACACATTTTGGAGTTCTGTATTTAGTTCATATGGAATAAGTTCTATATATTTCTTAGATTAAAAAGTCAAGGTGAGTTACTTTTCACAATTTTGTGTGTACAACAATGAACTAAAGATGTTAAAATGCCCATTTTAGGATTAAATTTGGAAGAGGGTGTTGGGTGCAGGCCCTCTTCTCACAGACCCTCCTCAGTGTACATTTCTTCTTGAATTATTTTCTCTTTCCCAGCCCAGAGATAGTTTTTGCCTATTTTAGGACTGGGGAAAAAAAAGGACTCAGAAAACATTCTCCCAAGCCTCTCTACATTGCAGTAGAGCGATATGCTTGAAACACACGCGCACGCGCACACACACACACACACACGGTCACACTCACACACACACACGCACACACACACACACACGGTCACACTCACACACACACACGCACACACACACGCGCACACACACGCGCGTGCACACACACACACACATGCACACACACACGCACACACACACGCGCACACACGCACGCACGCACACACACGCGCGCGCGCACACACACGCTTAGAAAACAGTCACACTCTCCCTCTGTTCTCTGTTTTGGCTGGATGGCTTCTCCAGGGAGCTGAAGCCTCGCGGGTAAGGAGGAGGAGGAGTGGGGGAGGGTCCAGGAATAAAAGGGAGACCCCGAGGCAAAAACATATCTGTCACTTCTTCACAATATCATCCTGCTGCATGGATATCACTGACCTTTCCTGTAGGGTATCACCACCCCTGGAGACTCTGCTCTGGGATGACCTAGCACCTGACATGGGGCTGAGTAGCCTCTCATGAGAGCCCCAGGTGTCCCCATGTCTTGCTCAGAGTGTCCCTGAGTTCACTGTCCCACACCAGACTTGCTGGGGGGAGGTGGGGGAATGGGTGGGGGTAGGGAGGTCCCAGGAGGCTTGGTAGCAGCCCAGCAGCTCCTACACTGCCCACTGCCAGCAAACGCCTCTGCCCCTGGTCCTCTCCCCACTGAAGACTCATACAAAGGCGCCACGCACAGAACACACCAGGGTCCAGGTGGGCTGTGCCACAGCCCACCCCGCAGGCGACTCAGAGCTGTAGGTGTCTGAGAGTCAGTCGCACCTTCCCTGGCTCCCTGGGAAGATGGTGCAGAATAGACGCTCCCTCTCATCTGCACAATTCCAGCCTCTGTACCTTTGTTTCTCTGGAGGAAAGTCTGTCTTTCACCCCCAAACAATCTTCACTGTGAGATCATCTCCCAGGGCCTTAATCAACAGTGGGATTGTGATGGTTCTTTCCATGCCAGACTTTAAATGTGCAAATGATTCAGCTGCTTGTTGGGGGAAACGGGGATGTGTGGCTTAGTCCACCAGTGGTGCCCTGTGGGTGCCCTGTGAATGCCAGCTGCAGCCAGTCCTGAGGGACTTGAGAGAAGGACATGGGCTTTCTTATCTATCCAGGGTCGACTTCCAGGGAGCAAGGCAAGAAGCAGCCCTACACCCATCACTGCTGTGGACACCTGCTCTTCTGGAGCCTTCTGTGTGCCATGCCCCTGCCTCAGAGAGAGGGCAGAGTCTGTGAGCACAGGGGAAACACTCCCCTTTCCCAGGTATGGTCTAGGAAGGGGGCAAGACCCTGGAAACCCCTCATGCCTAATGTGGAGCAGAGAAGCTGCTGTGGGGTCTGTGCAGGCAGGGCTGAGAGCTGGGTCAGAGGGTCCCCAAACCTCCTCAGAGGGGGACAGAGCACTGCAGGCCCCCAGGCTCCCAAGAGGGTGTGGGAGGCATGGAGAGAGACAAGGATCCTGGAGAAGCCCAGGAATGAAGAGGAGGAGGAGGAGAAAGAGGAGGAGGGGATAGTGGGAAGCTGCAGAGACCTGCAGGGACCAAATTCCTCGGAGGGACTCACAGGAGTGAGGATGTCCCTGTGAGGCTGGAACACAGGGACAGACATGCCCAGGCCAGGTGCCCCTCCCCAATAATGTCATAGCACATGAGGCCCCCACGCCAGTGAGAACTCTCAGCTGAACAACAAATGATGGCTTGGCTGACTAGGTGGAATGCGCGTTCACGTGAAGATGTCGGGGACTGCATGAAGTCATTAGGAGGGCTGGAGGTTAGGGTTGGGACAATGCCCAGGCCTGGCCAGAGGGACATGACCCCCATTCCTCCTGCTGCCCAGCACTGCACACACCCTGGATGCGTGGGCAGTGGGTGGGGCTTCTGCGTCAGCTCAGGTTTGCCTGTCTGGAAATTCACCAAACAAATCAACACTGTTAAACAAATGTCCACTTTTCCCTTGTGGAACCTAGAACATCAGGGAGGAGAGTGAGTGGAGACCCTGAATGGGCAGAGCAGATATCTTCACCAAAGACGGGGCTGGGAGGAAGAGAGAAACAGTTCAGTTGTAGAAAAACTATTTTAAAGTTATTCTTTTGCACATCTGAGGTTGCAGACTGAACTTCATGCTCAATGTAGTTTTTATCCTGTGTCAGCCACGGTGAGAGAATGCACCTTGCCCAGAACCCTGGCTCCCTTGGACGACAGCTCCCTTGCTTGGCTTTCTGAACATGGTGCCCACTGTCAAGGCTGGGGCGAACACAGAGAGAAGGGAACAGCCTGCCCTTCAGTAAATCCTCCTCAGCAACTGCTTCCGGCCGCTAAGAGACTTAGATTCACTGACCTGAGGAGGGTAATTAACTTAAGCAGAGAGAAAGAAGCCAGGAAGGGTTATTCCAGCCCACTGTGGAGGGTGGGGCGGGCTTCTTCATGTGGACACAGTGGGATGCAACCTCTCTTGCTTGGCAGCTGCTGCTCAGGTGCCTGGTCACCATGCTCTGGAGGAAATGTCCTGTAGGCCCCAGGGGCGCAATGGCATCATCTGTGGTCAAGCTGTGTCCCCGATCCCCAGCAAGTTCCTACCATCTCTCATTTTCATGAATTGTGCACAGATCTGTTGGTCTGATCATCAGCGAGTGGATACTCCTTGCTGATTGGTGGCTCATGCACCTTTCACTTCTTCGGCGACATCCTGACTTCCTGTTGGGAGTGACCTCTTAGACATTGTGTGCTGTCCAGGTGAAAATGTCCCTCCTAACCAGAGCTTGCCCCTGCTCTCCAGGACCTGGGCGGAGGGGATCAGTGGGGCGCACACTCCTGCGGGCTCCTGAATGGGCTCCTGGAGCAGCTCCTGCATGTGGCCCACTACTGTCCTTTCCTAACCCCCTTCCCTTCAGTTCCTGTTGCCTGCAGCCACAAGCTCTTCAGCCAGCTGCCCCTGAGTCTGCACCAATGAGCCATGGGGCCTGGACAATGAATCCCAGCTGCCTGAGCCTTGAGTCTTATGCCTGGGTGGGATAAACTCGCCCCTCACCAAGCCCCCATTCTGTGCCAAGCACCATATTAAATCATGTTAAATATGATGATGTGGAAGAAGAGCTATCACATGCAGTGGTTTTAATTCACCCCTGTGCTGACCAGGGGGTCTTCCCTCATAGTTCCGGAGCCTTTGCTTCGAGATAATTAAAATACAAGCTCAATGCCTCCAGAGCTGAGGGTGCATATTGACTCTGGGTCCATGTAATAAGACACAGCCATTGAGAGTGGCTGAGCATCTTCACTTGATTCACCTTATCTGATGTAGGGTTTTCAGTTGGGACTGTTCAAAAAAATAAAGATATCCTAAGTGAATAAAAGTCTGATTAACAATTTAATTTGAGCCTGGGGTTGAAATAGAGGTGCAGGAGGAACTCTCCCACCTGCGTAAAGAAGGAGGTTTTGCGACTATCAGATCATTCTGACGAGGAGACTTTTTTGCACTGTGGATCCCTACATGGAGACCGACCTAAGTTTTCACTAACTCCTTGGCTCGGGGTCTGGATGGGGGATGTAGTGGGTGGAACTGTGGCCCCCAAAAGATATGTCCATGTCCTAATCCCTAGAACCCATGAATGTGACCTTATTTGGAAACAGGGTCTCTGCAGATGGGATTAAGTTAAGGATTGCAAAAAGAGATCATCCTGGATTAAGGGTGTAAGTTCAGTAAGTGTCCTTATAAGAGAAAAGCACAGAAATATTTGAAAACTGGAGACACGAGAAGGCCATGTGAAGACAGAGGCAGAGCCTGAAATGAAGCACCTACAAGCCAAGAAACGACAAAAATTTGGGGCAACGACCTGAAGTTGGAGAAATAGATGGGATGGAGCCTCCAGAAGGAACTACTGGAGTGAGCAGGACTGACGCCATTGGGACCTCAAACTGCATGGGTGGTAGGGAAATTTAAAAGACAGTTTTTTCCTTAGTATGCATTTTTCTGAGTTCCCTCTTTTCCCATGGTTATTTGATATTTTGAACCTTGGTCAGAGGGCAAGATGACATTATTTACATAAAGGTAAAGCTGTTTTCCAGTCAGCCTGGAGCTGAAAACTTGCCACGAGTCACATACTATGCAGACCCTGAGAAACCATGAAAGACATCAGTAAAGCTGTGCTGATTCCAGCCCTCCAGCAGGACCCTGAGATAGCAGTAGAAACCAGATGGAGCCTTGGCGAGACCTTGTACCTGTGGCTCAGCTCCCCCTCCCTCCAGCTTTTCATTTCCCACGTTCCATTCCCTCAATCTCCTCTGTACAACCCCCTCAGTAAATCTGAGTCTTCAAGATGGTTTTAGTCTGGCCATTCCCTTTCAGGTTTACTGGAGAGATGGGTTAGCCTAGCATCTCTCCTCAGGTCACCGGTATTCCTTAATAAAAGCCTACTTCCATTTTCACCAACATTTGACTTTTGGGTTGTTTACTTTTGCTTGGGAGCCAGCAGCTGGACTTGGGCCTGGCAACAAGATTCGGCAAGCTTCAGCCAGGAGCTGAGTGCCCCCCAGTAACAGAACCAGCCCTGCACACACCCTGATTTTGGACCTCTGGCCTCCAGAGCTGTGAGAGGATAGATATCTGTTGTTATCAGCTACCCAGCTGTGGTAACTTGTTGCAGCAGTCCTGAGAGACTCACATGGTGGGTCTTCCTGTGCTCCCCTGATGAGAGGCAGCAGAATGGGGGTTCAGAGGGTAAGAGAAAGTAGCAGGATGAAGCTAGGTGAGTCACCTCCAGGGCTCCATCCAGGTGCTGCTCACTCATCCTCTCACCCTCCTTGAGGGGTTGGCTGCAGGTTGCCCAGAGCTGCATGGACACCATTCACTCCTTGGGGCCTTGCCACCCATGGCTGCAGCCTCAGCACCAAAATCCAGGCCTGACACATAGTAGGTGCTCAGAACAGGCATTAGAATGAATGGGTGGTTGGGTATTGTCAGAAGCTCAAATTCCACAGTGTCTTATTTTTCTAAGTGTGGTACGAACCCCTAACATGAGCTCTACCCTACCCTCTTCAGATTTTTAAGTGCACAATACAGTATTGTTAACTATAGTCACAATTTTGCATAGCAGGTCTCTAGAATTTATTCATCTTGCATAACTGAAACTTCATACCAGTTGAACAGCAACTCCCCATTTTCCTTCCCCCTGGCAACCACCATTCTACTCTCTGTTTCTATGCATTTGACTATTTTAAATGCCTCATATAAGTGGAATCAAGGGCAAAAGACTTGAATAGACACTTCTCCAAAGAAGACATATAAATGGCCAAGAAGTATATGGAAAAAAGCTCAACATCACTTGTTGTCAGGGAAATGCAAGTTAAAATCACAATGAGATATCACCTCATACCTGTTAGGATGGCTGTTACCAAAAAGAGAAGAGATAACAAGTATTGGTGAGGATGTGGAGAAATTAGAACTATTGTATACTGTTGGTGGAAATCTAAAATGGTGAAGTTGCTATGGAAAACAGTATGCGAGTTCTTCAAAAAATTAAAACTAGCACTACCATATGATCCAGCAATTCGACTTCTGGGCATTTATCCAAAGGAATTGAAACCAGGATCTCAAAGGGATAGCTGCACTCCTGTGTTCACTGCAACATTATTGACAATCACCAAGGTATGGAAACAATCTAAGTCTCCATTGACTAATGGGTGAATGAAGAAAATATCATACATACCTACAAATACACACAATGGAATATTATTCAGCCTTAAGGAAGTAAATCCTGCCATTTGCAATAAAATGGATGAACCTGGAGGATGTGATGCTAGGTGAAATAAGCCAGAGATTGTCTTGAGCTTTGCAGTTGTTTAGCAAACCCTTCTCTGCAGAAGCCAGGTTGGGAGGGGAACACAGGGCAGCTCCTTACCTGGGAGACACTGATGCAGCTATGGTTAGTGGTGGGAGAGGGGGACACCACCCATCCTCAGCATGAGGTCCAAGTGTGGGGTGGACATGGGGGCTCTCAGGTTATATCCCCAAGGAAGTACAGACAGAGACTCCTTAGAGACTTCCATGTCCACTTCATGTTAATCCCTGGAAACCCCATGGCTCTTGATGACTGTCCCGGGACTCTGGGCCAGCAGGACCATAGCAGTGCTTGAGCTGGTTGGTGTCCTGTGGTGAGTCTCCTACACATTTCCTCAGGGCTGTGGGGCCTTCACAGTCTCTTAACCACTCAGCTCATGCCCTCAGAGACCACAGAGAGGTCTGCCCACACCCTCTATAAACATGGCAGCCTAGAGAAGCCACCTAGAACTATTGGCTGAGAATACCTCTGGCGGGACCAGTGGCTCATTCTGTGGGACATATTATGAAAGAACAAACTGTGAACAGATGCTGGGCTCTAGCTCCATATGCATGGCAAGGGAAGTGAGAGAATCTCCTTATACAGTGAAGTCAAAGAGCTCTGGAGCAGGACCACCCAGTTCACACCTGGCCCCCTTGCCAGATGTTTGCCAGTAGTTGGGACTCTGAGCCTCAGTTTCCACATCTGTAGTATGGGGGCTGAAATGTTGCCCACCCCATAGGCCTGTCATGAGGATCAGTAAGGTCATTCATGTGACACATTACCACAGTGCCTGGGCCACAGGGCATGCTCCACAAATGCCCAACATTATCATCTGATGCTTTTGCAATGCACAGAAAAAGAAAGAGTGAAGTTGGGAAAGAAGAGGTGGAGGAAGCATTTCTGTGATTTAAGTGTACTTGAACTGTAGAAACCAGAGCCAGGCTTCACAGAGCACCTTGGATCATCATGCCTGGGAACTTCCTTCTCTCTACTGAGAACCAAACAAGCATGCTTCCCTGAAGATGCAGGAATCTGGGCTGAGAAATGTGGGGACTTTGAGTCTGTGGCTTCAAATGTGTGAGCAGGTCATCATCAGGAGACGGACTCAGCTGTGGTAACAGGGACTCTGAATAAGAGCAGCTTAAACAAAGTGGGGATTTTGGTTATTAATAGTCCAGGCATATGCTGTCTAGGGTCGGTGGGGATTTCAGGATGATGAGGCCCTAGCTTTTCCACATCATGGCTCCACCAGCCCTGGCAGATCCTTCATCCTCCTCCTGGTCCAGCATAACTCACAGGCATACACTTCTCTCCAGGAAGAGGGGAAAGGAGGGGCAGGGCAGGCTTCAGAGCATGACCTGGAAGTGGTAAGCACCATTTCCTCTCTGGTCCCATTGGCCAGAAGTTGGTCATGTGACCACACTTTTCTGCAAGGGAGTCTGGGAATTGCAGTCTTTATTCTGGGAGCCCATGTGTCTTTCTAAATCCAGGGGACTCTATTGCTACAGCACAAAAGTAGAGGGATGGACATTGAGGGGCAGTAATCATTGCCCCCAGGGTGGGCACAGGGGCTGTTTCTGCAGCCTTGAGGGCTGTTTCTGCAGCCTTGGGGGACCTTCCCATTATAACCAAAAACAATTTGAGATAAATGAGGTAGAATACAAGAGAATGATTTCAGGTAGGTAGAGGTGACCACTGACTGGGAAGAAAAATCAGACAAATGGTTTCGGACAAGCTGGACTTTTAAGTTCATGAGATTTGTTTTTCTGGAAGCAATTAGATGATGCAATCTTAATAATTAAAAAGAAAAAGACAACAGCCAGCTCCACGTGGGAAGGAGATGGAAATTGCTTCTTAAAACATTTACGCTGCAGCAGCCAGAAGAGCCCACAATGAATGCCTGTTCATATTTTCAAGTTGCTTTTGTGCTGCTGCTGTCTCGAACACTCACTGCATTTATTATTTGTCATTAATGCATTTCATAAGATCTTTGCACCCACCATCTTTCCTTAGCAATGTAAATCCAAACCTGCCGTTCTCTCAAATGGCTCTTCTCTTCTGTGATATCTGGTACCACCTGGGAAGCTCACGGTGGGGCAGACAGGATGCTCTGTCAATCCGCCCACGGACATCTCATTAGCCAGGCGTGGGCAATACCTCTTCTCAATGTGCATGCCAGACCCAGATGCCATGCAGGAAAATTACTATCTGAAAGGAGAATTGGAATGCATAGCTAGTCTGACTCTCAGCAGGCTAAGGCATTAAAAATGATCATTCCCCATATCTGCACGCACAGATGTCAGTATTGCCAGCTGTGGGAGAACC